GAGAGCACTGACACTTCAGATGGGCATTTAAAACACTGACAGCGAAACGGTATGAATACAGAACACTACAGTCCATGTTGACATTTTATTATAAAGTAATTAATTTGTTGACCAAATGAGAATTAGCAGAGAAAGAACAGAAGTATGTTTGCCGTCGAGGCTGTGAGGACTCTAACATTTGTAGCCTACCTCGAGCGGTTATAACAATGTGACAAAAACACACGCAAACCTGACCCAAATGTGTAATGTCGCAATTGTTACCATCTATTTGCATTCGTTTATATCCAGCTGCCGGTCACTTGTATGCATTCATTAGCCGGCGAAGTTGCATATTTAAAGCTAGTGACGTGATTGCTTTCTCAACATTGATATGTTCATGCAGCCAACAGAAACATAAACAAATCAGAATTTGTTGTATACAATTAATTAATAGCCTGGTTTTGTGTTTCGGTCAGAGTACTGGCAACATGCGAAAAGTGCCGGTGTTGTGCCTAATTTCGACCCCCTGCCAAATTATTACCCCCTCGTTGAAGTCAGTACCTGTTTTCCTAACCCTTCCCCCACAACTAATCCTTAACCTACCAATTGCGCTATGTTTTTGTTCTGAACTCGTATCGCTTTTGTAGTCTATTGAGAGAATAACATATAGAAATCCATTCATTTCCCTAAACATTTTTTTAAACAATATGAACTGGAACGCCGTCCCCCCTTGGAATTTACTCCATGGACTCCGTCCCCTGCGTTACCCCCCATTTCCAGCCCTGAATGGGCTCTATGCACGGCGGTATTTCCAGTGAAGGTCTAAGGATGCTGGATTACTTCAGCCGATCGTAGAGTCCAATGCTATACCGAGAATTTATATTGGTTTTTATACTCTATTGCTATACTAAATAAACGTTAGTCACAAAAACAGACAAAACAGACACCCCTCATTTTGTTTATGCTTCTTTGTTTATTATATTAAATAAACATAACTATATATACAATTACATCTAACGCATCCTTGCATCAAACGCGGAAGTTATGCGTGCATATAGCCCATTAGAATCAAATCAAGTGAGAGACTATACATTTATGCAATTGTAATGCTCTGGCCTTTGCAGATATTTAAAGATGGTCATCTTTAAGTATAGCAGACTCTTTGGATTTATATTGTAACACTTTACAATAAGATTACATTTTTAGCATTAAGGTTAATAAATGTCGTAGAACATTTTGTCCATTGTTAGTTTGTTAATGTCAACATTTTCTAATACATTTTAAATTGAGTTTTTATTTGATCTGTTAACCTTAGGTAATGTACTATGAACTAACATGAATGATCAAGGTACAATTGTCTTGCTCAAATATTAATACATGCTGTAAAAAAAAATGTTTTCCATAATACATATAGTTAATGAAAGCTAATACATCCCTGTTAACAAATGGGACTTGCAAAGTGTTACCTATGAAATGTACCTATGTTTCTTGGTTATAGCTAAAGAAACCTGTAATATTTTAATGTTTAAATAATTTTCTGTAGAATTCGTTCTGTAGAATATATTCATATTTATATACAGTATCTATTTAATTTAGCACATTTCAGTTCAGCACTGTTTTACTTGGAGTGTTATGGTTTTTTTTTATCCAGTATCCGTTTTAAAAATATCGGTTGATTAATCGGTTATCGGCACGTACGGTCAAACCTAAATATCGGTATCGGTGAAATCCACTATCGGACGACCTCTTACATATCCAGGCCTGCTTTTAGAATGATTCCATCCAATAGAGAAAGAGTCCCTCATATCCAGGCGCTCTGGCTGGGAGGTTATGACACAAAGATCTGAATTAGCCCGCTGGGGTTCAACTTCCTCTAACTCTTTGAGTTCCCCCAGACCGCACTCCAAGAAAAAAACATTCTACAAATCAGAAAGATCTAAATTCTATCCCTATTCTGTACACCATGGGTCAGACCTTAGAGGTCTAATGTGGAATCTCATCCACTAAAGCGGGGTAAAGGTGGGCGTACACTGTATGAGTTCGGACACTCCGGAGGTTGTGAGATATTGCACGCGTTACCAGTCAGTTAACCTGAAAATCGTGTCTAAGCAGCTGGTGAACGGCACGACTGTATTGCACAGTGAGCCGGTGGCAATTGCACAAGCTTTTGCGCTAAACACAGAGACTGAAGCTTTCAATGTTGCTGCTATAGTTTTGGATAGAAAGAAAAAAGAAAAAAATGATTTGTTGAAGAGCAGAGTAGCAGCACAGCCTTTCCTTTCAACAGAAACAACTAGAGAGTGTGTGTGTGTGTGTGTGTGTGTGTGTGTGTGTGTGTGTGTGTGTGTGTGTGTGTGTGTGTGTGTGTGTGTGTGTGTGTGTGTGTGTGTGTGTGTGTGTGTGTGTGTGTGTGTGTGTGTGTGTGTGTGTGTGTGTGTGTGTGTGTGTGTGTGTGTGTGTGTGTGTGTGTGTGTGTCCGCACGCTGCATGGTTACAGCCTCTGGGCTATAGCTTAATAGTATTCATAGATCTTAGCCTATGTGACGTGGTTGTGTATGATTTGGCAATATGGGACAGCCTATACGCTGGTCAAAATCTGGCCGACTCCCCAAAGTTTTTAAACATGCTCGTAATGTACTCATCTCATCTCGTAATTCCTCCACGACCATATGAGCATCAACGATTTCCACACGATTTCTCCCGAGTGAAAAAACTGGCGTGTGCTCCAGACTTAACGGTGTGGAATTTCATTTTGTCTGAAAGAATAACCTACAACACACTCCTTTATTTCTCTTCTGACTGATAATGGTTACCTCATAAGATGATTCAGGTGGGCCGCTCATGTTCAGAAGGAAGGATGACACGTGGGGGCCTAGTGGGCTGAGACTCCATGTTTCAGTGCTTTGGAATGTATTGTTTGGTTGTCATTGTACTCCCAGGCTCAGAGGGAGGATTCTGTAGTTTTCAGATATGAGATTCCGAAGCAAGGCCAGTTTAGCTCTCTCTAGAGAGAGACAACGTGTTTGTGTTGGGCAGAACAGCTCTGCTGTGCTCAATAGGGACGTTTTTCATTGCATATGAAATCCATCCTCAAGGTTATTAGATTTTGTAGGTTTCAAATACTCACACGCTCTAACACAAGCACGCAATCATTCTCAGACTCACACGAACGCACACAAACATGTTGATTTGTATCTCAACAGTCTGTCCTCGTGTAAACTGAGCAGTTTTTCCTGTGAGCAGTTAAATTTGCTCTGATATCGTTACCCGTAAACAGATGTCACGACAAAGATTTGTGGAAACTTTTCAGGGTCATCTGCACTTCACGTTGGTTGGGAATGCATCTTGAACTCTGGGGCAGCTTCTTGACTAATTTTTTTTATTTTTATTTTTTTTATGGACAGCAGCTATGCAGATTATGAGTTAAAGACATCATATAGTTAAATAATATACTTAAAATAAATATAAATATTATATACAGTAAATCTTTGTGTTATTGTCAGTGTAATGACATTTAATATTCCTTTTAATAATATATAATAAAATATTTGTTATATATTTGTATGTGTATATATATATATATATATATATATATATATATATATACACACACACCACCTTTTTAAAAGAATACTACAGTTAAGACAAATATGCATTAAATGGATCAAAAGTAACAGTAAAGATTTTTAGTTTGTTACAAAAAAAATTCTTTTGAAATTGATTCATCAAAGAATGCTGATAAAATATTGTTTCTACAAAAATATTAAGCATCTGTTTTCAACATTGATAATATTAAATGTTTTTTTAGCAGCAATTTGAGCAGGTATTTTAAATTGTAATATTTCACATTATTTATATTTTTTACTGTATTTTAGATCAAATAAATGCAGCCTTTGTTCAAAAACATTAACTTATTGTTGTCTCTGCATAATAAGATAGGATACGAGAAAATATTTTAACCCCACTTCACCTTTAAAAGATATTTTAGCAGATCTCATCCATAAATGTGCTCTGTAACAGCATTAGGTATTAGTTCAGGGTCAGAACGAATAAGTACTGACCCTTCAGTACTGATTTGCTAAAGAATTTAGCATACGTACAAGTGGAAAAGAGTGCGGTGGAGATCTCTGACATAATGATTGATCTTGTCATGGAAATAACTAAAGCAGAACTTTGTAATTCCTGCTGGATAAATGTCACCACTGTAGTTTGATAGATGCGATGCTACATTAATAGTCTTAATATTGCTGATGAATGTCTCTGTTCTTCAGGCCTTGGGGGACTCTGACCTGGCAGAGGTTCTGAAACAACTTCTTCCCCTCATAAAGTCCAGTGAGTCTGGAACAGGTTCTGACTCTGGTGAGCTGAGCGTGGATGATCTTCTGGTGCTGCTGGTTTATGTGTACTCTATGGCCCAGGAAGCATGTCCGGCTGGTGCTGAGGAGGGAAAGCATGTGGAGAAGGTGGAGAAGGAATTGATTGGTGCATTGACACTCCGACTCACCCGGCAGACCACATTAAGCCCCCTGCTGCAGGAGATCACAGGTCAGTTGTGGAATACTAGTTCAACATGATCCCACTACCATTATATATTAGGGGCTGTTTACACCTGGCCACTTCATGCGTTTTCTCAGATCGGATAGCTATCTGATTTATCAAATCGATTCCATTTACACGTGTGCAAAATGGATATAAATCCGATCTTCAATTCCCGCGCTATATGCAGATTTAATGGAGTGCACGTCACCGAAAGCAACAGATATTGCTGCATTTTATTGATCATCAGCTAATTTCGAAATCAAAGACCGAATAAGAGTGAGCGTTAACAGAACTGGTAAGATCATTTCGTTTCTTTACTTTTAACGAAGATGATTGTGTGTTAAGCGTCTGCGACTGACTTTCACTTTGATTTGCGTTAGTTTGCGGCGCGTTGGCTTGATGAATAGACGCTCATCTGAGGTGATCTGTGTTGCAGTAGCGTCGTCATATCTGACTATAACATGACATATGGCCTATATAACACGCTCTCACACGTTTATTTTTTAGCATTTGTGGGAGGAGTGAAATTTACATATGTGGTTTCAACAACCAGATGCATTTACACTTGTCCAGTTTCGTCTGGAATGCGGCCCAGACAGCCCGATCTCACGGCAATTCGTACGAATTTTACAAGGTGGCTAATTCGTACTAATTCATACGACCTCACTCGTACAAATTCGTACGATTTTTGCAAATTCGTACATATTTTACGAGTTACCAAATTCGTATGAATTCGTACGAATGACCTACCCCTGACCCCGCCCCTAAACCTACCCATCACGTGGGTTTAGACAAATCGTACAAATTTGTACGATTGAGGTCGTATGAATTAGTACGAATTAGCCACCTTTTAATCACTCGTATGAATTCGTACGAATTGGTCGTGAGATAGCGTTGCCCAGACCTCCTCCTGATGTGGTTTGAGCGATCGGATTCAAATCCGTCTCGAATGTGTTTCGGAGGGCATTTACACCTGGTCTTTTCACGATCGGATAGCTATCCAATCACAGAAAACGCATGAAGTGGCCAGGTGTAAACAGCCCCTTAGTGTTGTGATGCCTAAATTCACTTTTAAAAAGTAGCATTTAAATTATTAATTTGATTTATTTAGACAAAATAGTATAACATTTTAATATCAGCCATAACTTATCAGTTTCAATCTACATTTTAATATCAGTGCATCCCTAAATATTTGCTTTAGAAAAAAAAAATTGCCCCACCTCAAGACCATTAAAAATTCAAATTTAAAAAAATCTTTTTAAAAATGTGTTAATTGTTGGAAAATTTTACTTGGTTAATTTACTTGGTTATTTTTAAAAGAGAATATCCATTAATTTTATGGTAAATTTTTTTTGTCCGAACATGTACCCATATTACACTACCGTGTTTTTATTATTATTATTATTATTATTATTATTTCTTTTTAGAAATAAATTAATACTTGTGTTCATCAAGGATGCATTAAATTGATCAGTGCAAATGTGACAGTAAATTATTTTACATTGCTACAAAGATTTTTTTTTTTTTTTTAATAAATGCTGTTCTTTTGAACTTACTTTCTTTCGAAAGCTGTTTAAATTTTAATGTTGATGATAAGAAACATTTCTTGACTACCAAATCAGCATATTGGAATGATTTCTGAAGGATCATGTGACACTGAAGACTGGAGTAATGATGCTAAAAATAAAGCTTTACCATCACAGGAAAAAATTACATTTTTAAAATATATTCAAATAGAAATGTTATCTGAAATTGTAAAAAAATAATTCACAATAGTACTGTTTTTTACTGTATTTTCGATCAAATAAATGCAGTCTTGGTGAACATAAGAAACTTAAAAAAAAACCTTAATCTTAAAAAATAAATAAAAAAAATCTTACCGACACGTCTTATCATTTTACCATCACACCAAAGAGCGAGAGAAATGGCAATTATGTAAATGATCCGGCTATGTCTGTGTTCTTTAATGCGCGCATTGTCATTAAATCGCCCACAGAACTTTCTACTCCCATCAGCGCTTTTATGGGATTGTGTTCTCACACTAATTTTCCCTGTTTTGTAAATCTGGCCCATAAACTGTTCTAAAACCCAGTAAGCTGCCTAAACTGAATGAAGTATACCAGGGCCTTAATTGTCTACATAGCCATCCTTACCATAGAAAGAACAAGAGTTTGTATTTTTCTTTTCTTCAGCATTCGTCTTGCTCCCTTACTAGGCTTTGAAACACAGTATACAGTATCTCAGTTTCCTCCAATGGGATTGTCCCTCAATTACTGCACTGTATGTTACAAGATGTATTGCTTAAAGGAAAGGATCAAGAGAGAGCTGGGTCACAGAGGAGTCAAGATGATACAAAATGGATGGAGATGGTAAAAGTGAGCAAGTTAAGATGAATGGAGAGAAACACCTCTGTTTTCTGTCTTTTGTCCCCAGGAATACTCACTCACAAACCCTCACATTCCATCAGTCACACACACACACACACATGCTAACACACTGCTCTTTTTTATGGTGGAATCCACTTTGAAAGTAAAAGATTCAAATCTTTGATTTACTTTTTCCTCAGACGTTCTCCCTTTTTCATGCTCTCTCTCTCGGTTTGGTGACAGCTGATGGAAGCCATCTGAATCTGTGGCCCATATGAGAGCCTGTAAACCTGATTCAGCCTGATTTGTGACTGCAGGAATGAACTCTGTACACTCGCCGGCCCGCACTTCAAACCAATTCAGTCTCCAGGCTTTAGTTTCTTAGTCATTTTTGCTTGCCGCCTACATAATGTTGTGTATTCAAGGTTACATGGAGGTTTCTAGAAAGACTGCGTGCCATGCTTCTTTTGAAACATGACTACTTGTTCAACTTTTCCAACCTTGAGAACTCTGTTTGTGTGTTTGTGTGTGTGTGTGTGTGTGTGTGTGTGTGTGTGTGTGTGTGTGTGTGTGTATAAGCTTGTTTTACTTCTGCAATGATTTGTTGTTCTAAAGCGAAATTCAAAGTGCCTATTAGGCTGGTGGACACACCCTGAGAGAGTCGCCATCAGCGCATGTAATAGATGCTTTTGCCACGGCGGTCAGACTGGCTTGTGGTCCTCCATCTTTACCGTGTCGTTTCAAATCTGTGTGTGTCGGTGTGGTTTTGAAGTTTCACGAATGTTTCCGTACCTGTGGGGTCCTGAAAGGAACAAGCTGGCATGTTGCAGCATTGCGATTGTTGGAAAATTTGCTGTAACTTGAGTATGTGAGCACAGTTTTTGAGCTGAAAGTTGCTATCCATTGTAGACACTATCCATTACATTGTGTTTATATATATTAATACATGTATGCATGTAATCTTTATCAAATCTCCTAATATCAATTACATTATGAATATAAAATAAAAGTTGATGCCTAAATTCACAGCATTTATAATTAGTAGTGTTTTAATCATTTAGACAATTTGTAATTTTAATCATAAAATTGTTCTATCGCTCTATAGAAATCGTTCGTTCTTTCTATCATTCTGTCTATTGTTCATTTTTTCTATTGCTCTTTCTATCTATCTATCTAGCTATCCTTCTTTCTAACATTCTTTCTATCGTTCTATTTCCTTATTTCTATCAGTTGTTTTTTTCTATCTATCGTTCTTTCCATCAATTGTTCTTTATATCATTCTATCTATCGTTTGTTCTTTCGATCATTGTCTAATGCTCTTTCTATCAATCTTTTTTCCTATCGTTCTATCTATCGCTCTTTCTATCGTTCTTTCTATCAATCGTTCTTTATATCATTATATCTTTCGTTTTTTCTTTTATCAATCATTCTTTCTATCATTCTTTCTATCATTCTATCTATCGTTCTTTCTATCATTCTATATATTGTTCTTTCTATCATTCTATCTATTGTTCTTTCTTTCATTCTATTTATCATTCTGTCTATCGTTCTTTTTTATCAAGCGTTCTTTATATCATTATATCTATCGTTTGTTCTTTCTATCGTTATTTCTTAAGTTCTTTCTATCAATCGTTCTTTCTATCATTCTATCTATCGTTCTATCTAAAGTTCTTTCTATCAATCGTTCTTTCTATCATTCTATCTATCGTTCTATCTAAAGTTATTTCTATAAATCGTTCTTTCTATCATTCTATCTATCGTTTTTTTCTTTCTATCGTTCTATCTAAAGTTCTTTCTATCAATCGTTCTTTATATCATTTTATCTATCGTTTGTTCTTTCTATCGTTATTTCTTAAGTTATTTCTATCAATCGTTCTTTCTATCATTCTATCTATCGTTCTATCTGTCATTCTTTCTATAAATCGTTCTTTCTATCAATCGTTCTTTCTATCATTCTATCAATCATTCTCTATTGTTCTTTCTATCCTTATCTCTATTGCTCTCATTCTCTATCGTTCTTTCTATCATTCTCTCTATTGCTCTGTCTATCATTCTCTATCGTTCTTTCTATCATTCTTTATTTCAATCGTTATTTATATCATTCTAATATTCTATTAATCATTCTTTTTATTGTTCTATCTTTGTTCTTTCTATCATTCTTTTTATCAATCGTTCTTTTTATCCATTCTGTCTATCGTTCTTTCTATCATTCTGTCTGTCGTTCTTTCTATCATTCTATCTATCGTTCTTTCTGTCTATCGTTCTTTCTATCCTTCTATCGTTTTCATTGTTCTATAATTTTAATAATATAGTATTTTATATTATGCATTAAAATGAATGTTAAGTACGATTAAAAATGAATTCTTACCTTTCCCCTCCTTCTTTCGTTCTAGTCTCTCTTTTTTTTTCTCTCTTTCATTGATGAAGAATGCTTTGGCTCTTGGTAACTTCCTGCTCTGCTCGGCTGAGGGGCCTCTTTCTCCCTCTCTATGTCTTTTAAAGCGTATGACTCTTTCATATAAACACTGGCCTGCCAATTATAGTGCCAATGCACACCAGGTGTGTCCAGGAAAATGTATGACCACTCATTGACAGCTATTTGTAGGTTTTAAATGAGTTTCTGATCGTATGAACGTTTACGTGTGTCTGGACGCACGTGTAATGAAACTTTTGCCATATGTTTTCGTCATCAGTGTAACAATCAAATTATTTAACAATGAAAGAATGTGCACCTGCAGCTGGTGTTCTTGTACCAGTGCCGTGTATGTGCTCAGTGAAATATATATTGATTGTGACATTCGGCTCAATTAAATTGGTCTGAATGGAAATCAGGCTCGACTTGAAACATGGTCGCCATGGGAACCAGCCGCTTGCGCACACACTAGCATGCACTCAGCCTCTGGTCAGCATGGGAACCGCTCTAATTTTAAATCAGCAGAAAATCAGCCGAGAAAGAGAAACACTGTCATAATGAAACTCACCCAGTTGCTCTCAAACTCACCGAGATTGCCTAGAGAGCTTCAATAACAGGACGTCCACCCCAACACAAATACACAACAGAAAAGCCTGTCAGAGCAAACACACATGCAGAGGGCGGGAGAAGTTAAAAACACACTCATGGGAGGTGAATTACAGAGCATCACCGGACTCTACAGAATTACAGAGGGAAGTGCTGCTGTAACTCTGACTGCTGTCTTTCATTATGTGTGTCGTCCTGTTTACCAACATCAGATAATGGGTTTGACTGTCTGTCCATCCGTCTCTATCCATTTTTATTTCCATCTATCGTTATTTCTCTCTATTTTTCTATCTATCTATATATCTATCTATTGTTCTTTCTATCTATCTATTGTTTTTTCTATCGTTCTATCTATCACAATTTATATCATTCTATCTATTGTTCTATATATTGTTCTTTTAATCAATCGGTCTTTCTATCTGTCATTCTATTCTTCTATCCACTGTTCTTTCTGTCTATCTTTCTATCGATCATTCCTTATCATTAGCTATTTCTATTGTTCTGTCTATCATTCTATCTATCTGTCATTCTTTCTATCTATTGTTTTTCTATCGTTCTATCTATCGCTCTTTATATCATTCTATCTATAGGTCTATATATTGTTATTTTAATCTATTGGTCTTTCTATCTGTCGTTCTTTCATTCTATCCTTCTATCCACTGT